GGGAATGGCTTCCTATAGAAGATGGAATTTTAGTTGAGGCTTACAGTTAGACAGGGAAGCTAGTAGCCAGGGATATGGGGGCAACGTGTTGGACCTGTGATTTAGGAAAATCATTTTGTCAGCTGAATGGTGGGTGGACTAGAGTGGGGAAAGATTTGTGGCACAGAGACCAACCAGCAGTAAGTGTTAAGTGTCTGAGGCGGGATTTGAACTCAGATGCCTCAAAAGAACTCATTCCTCAACTCCTTACATTATGACTTGTTTTCATTGCTCTACTGAAATTGCTCTCTCTGGAGAGAGGGGGAGAAAAATTTGAAACTCAAAAGCTTATAGAAGTGATTGTTGATAAATCAAAACAAATTAATTAAAAAAAACTGCTCTCTCAAAAAGCCTCATATTACACATTTTTCTGCCACCTTAATTGCTGCTTCTTTATTTCTGTCAGTTATACAGCTAAACATTTATATAAGCTTACTATGTAGCCTGGCATTGTGTTCAGTGCTGAGGATATGAAAATCAAAAATACTGTCCCTGATCTCAAGAAACTCACATTCTAATGGAGAATCTAATGATTCTAATCATGCAGATAACTGTGTGTGTGTGAGATAAACAGCATAAATAGGGGGTAATCTCAAAGGCAAGGGCCTGTGTTGGGGAGGAGGTAGAGAGGAACTAGAAGAGACCTCCTGCAGGAGGTGGGATTTGAACTGAGTCTGAAAGGAAATCAGGGAAGCTAGGAGGCATTCCAGACATGGGAGTCAACCAATGAAAAGGGACATAGTCAGGAGATGGAGTGTCATATATAAAGTATAGAAAGTAGGCTAGTGTAGCTGGATCACAGAGTACATGAAGTAATAATAAGTATAAAATTTGAAAAGTAGGCAGAGGTCAGGTTGTGGAAGAATTTAAATGCCAAGAAGGATTTTGTTTGATCTTTGAGGTAATCCTCCAAGGTTCTCCAAGAGAGCCCCTGAAATTTATTGAGTAGGAGAGTGACAGATTTTGACCTGTGCAGCTGAATGGGATAGACGATTGGGCAAAATGAGAAGTGAAAAGTGCTCAAACTAGGGTTAGGGTTATATGAATGGAGAGAAAAGAACATATAGGAGAGATGTTATGAAGTCAGGAATGGCAAAATTTGACAACAGGTTAGATATATGGATTAGTACAAGTAAAGAGTTAATGATGACACTCAGATTGCAATTCTGGGTGACCAAGAGGATATGCGTTCAGTTCGTTCTTGGAAAGTTTCGAGTGTAAAAATAAACATGCTAACAACCTTAATTTGCTTGAGCTCTCCAATCATCCAGGTAACCAGACGGACTGACTTGACCAATCAAGATACAGGATGGCTTGATATACCAGTGACCCTTTTCAAGTGAACTCCTGAATCTGGAGATACCTGTAGCTGCCAGAAACCACAGAACCAGCCTTGATCAACTCAGGAGCAACCTTGAGCAGAAGCTGCGGACTTAAGACCTTGCTCAGAACTGCTTATCTAATCTGTACTTGAGCCTTGGACTCCCTGCATCATTGTGCTTATTTTATACCAAGAAATCAGTGCCCCTGTTCCTCAAACTCTCCCTGGTTTGTGCCTGGAACTCTCTCCACAACATGCTCCCTTCCCTCCCCAGATCAGCCCATGTCCCACCTCCCTTTCCTATTCCCCACCTTCCTTTGTTAGGAAAGTGTATAAACTACTTGCTGCTTTCCTCAGTTGAGCTGTTTAGCATTAGGCTGTCTCCTCCACATGATCACATCTGTATCTGCTTTATAAAGATCATTCTTGACTTTTACAGGCACTGTCTAGCTCTGGTTTTCTTCCCTTTGGAAAAGAGGGACCAGGTCCTATAGGGTTCGTGCTTCAGTTTACAGGACAAAAATGAGTACTGTTTTGGAGATTCTGAGTTTGAGATAACTGTGGGACATTGGAACATCTAATTCAAAATGTACCAAAAGTAATTAGTGGCATGGGGATTGGAATTGAGGAGAGAGACCAGGACTGGATATGTAGGTCTGGGCCCCCTTTTCCTCTTCTCAACTCCTTAATATTGGTGTCCCCCAAAGTATTATCTTTAGCCCTCTCCATTTCTCTTTTAACAGTGTCGCCTCTGTTGAAAGTTAAGAAAGGGCCATGTCATGGAGCACTTTGAATGCCAAACAAAGGATTTTATCTTTGATCTTTGTTGTTGTTCACCCTTCGTTCTCAAAGAGGACCAATGACATCACAAAGTGATACCTTGACTTTCATGTGAATTGGATTTAAGTGAGGCAGAGTTGCACAAAGTCCTCAGCCTCACTCTCCTCCAGAGTCATCGAAGTCCAGTGGCAAGACAAAAGCCAAAATGACTGGCAATGGCCCAGAATGCAGTGGGTGACCTTGGCTTTTCTAAATTAGGACCTTCCCAGGTCTCAGTTTGTCTGAGTCAATGCCCATTCAATGACTAAGGGCTAAGTAAGAATTAAGACAAAAGATGACTCAAATTACTATCACAAAACTATCAATCTGGAAGGGGACCCGAAGCTTAGAGTTTCTAGACAGAAAACAACTGCTATTTACACTCATTCTAAGCCATCTTAAACCTAAACAATAAGCCACAAAGGCTTGGGTTGGGCGCTTTTATTGACCGTTCAATGAAAGCCAGGGTGATTTGGGTTTAAAGGCATAATAGTCAAGCAGCTCCATTTGAAACACAATGGGCTTTTCTAAAGCCTGTTTTTTTCAGAGCTATATTTCAAGAAATCATAAATGAATACTGCACAGGACAAAAAGAAAATTGTCCCCAGCTTTTTGAACAAGAGAACAAAAAATATAAATAAATAAATGGGAATAAAAAAAATTTAAAATTAAAATCAAAATCTAGGGCCCAAACTCTAAAATGTTTTAAAACATGTGACAAAAAGTTATATTCTTATGGACAGAGCACTCATATGTAAGGACAGGAACCAGATTTGAGAGGGGAAGAGGGGGAAGAACCAGGAGGAGGGGAAGAAATAGCAGCATTCCCCAACTTGTGTTCAAATTGGCAGATTGGGTCCTCAGAGAGCAGCTATGGCTACGTTTAGATAACAGGGTAAAGACAGTTAATGTGAGACATTCACTCCTTCCTACAATATACACAACTTCCATGGGAAGAGTATGCTTAAACTTAAAACATAATAATAGTGAGGCACACTTAAAAGAAATTCAACAAAGGTTTAATTCACAACACCTGCTTTGGAAGTTCTTTTATGTATAGAGACCTCATGCAGAATCCTTTGTTGTTCATGCTTCATTCTCAAAGAGGACCAATGACTTCACAACATCATGTTATTTATTCATTTAGATCCAACTTACTTAGGTTTATCATAATCCCATTCCTCTTCTTCATGCACTCTTATGCCAAAACAGGCTTCTTATTTTTGTTCTTCACACTTGGTATTCTATTTCCCAATTCTGTGACTTTGTACAGGCAGCTGTCCCCCATACCTGGAATACAGTTCCTACTCACTTACCTCTATATATCACCAGTATCTTTTAAAGCTTGGCTCAAGCACTATCTCTCATTTGAGACCTTTCTTGATTCCTCCAAATTCTAGTGATAACTGCCCCCAAAAAGTTACATTACATTTATGTTAATATGCTGGTTCTAATATAATGCTAAGTTCTTGTGGGGAAGGACAATGTTTTTATGCCTTGTACAGAAGAGTTCCTGAATAAATGCTTATTGACTGATTGGGAATAAAAGGAAGGAGATGCCCAGTGAGGGAATTGTGGGAACTGAGTGAGCCACACTGACTCTATCTTGTGACTCAATTCTAGAGATAGCTCAGTTCCCTTTCTATTCCATTACGGATCTAGTCCAATTTCTGTCTCGTGAGAAAGCTTAATTCAGTTATGGGAATTGTAAGAATTGCAAGAAAATTGTGAGAATTGTAAAAAAATTTTATTGTATTGTTTGAACCTAGGCCCGCATGGCTGGGAAGTTGGATCACCTCTACCTGTTGCTTAAAGACCCTTTTAACCAAGGATCTACACTGACCAGAAACCCAGTTAGATCCAAAGGCTGATGCAAGGAGTTTTCACACAATTATATATCTCAAGCAACCCATAAATATTACCTGAAAACTGTCCCCATACTTGTCAGTCAGTTACTTTTTTCCACATTCCTTTGATTGACTATAGATACTTGGGAGAAGTGGGACACCTCTTTTTCTGATTTCAGGGAACTGTACCTGCTCAGCCTCCTGTCTCCCACCTCTTAACACTCACTCATCCTCTTCTCAACTCAGAAAGCCCCTAATATTTCTTCCAATTAGAAATCAGATTACCTAATGTTGTATCCTGGTTTATATCCTGTTAATTGTTATCTTTTAATGCATATGAATATGTATCAAATATTTACTGTGGGAAATTGAAAAGGATTTGCTTCATCTATAGAATATCTTAATCTAAGGTCCGTGAACTATTATTAAAAAATTTTGATAATGAATTACATAATTGGTTTCCTTTATAATTCAATGTATTTTATGTATTAAATAACATTATTCTGAGAAAGTTTCACCAACTTCCCAATGGGGTAAATGACACATGAAAAAAAATTAAAAACCTGTCTGTAATTTACAGAGCCTCACTTTAAATCTCCTTTAATAAGGTGAATATAGTGGCTTACATACTTTTTAAATTCATTAATCATAAGGCTCTGTCTTCACGATCTTTCTCTCCAGCATGAATTCTCTCATGTCTACTAAGTTGTGTCCAATGTAGAAAGGTCTCATTACATTCACTGCATTTAAAAGGTTTCTATCTCATGTGAATTCTATGATGCCAAGTAAGAGATGATACACCACTGAAGATTTTACCACATTCATTACATTCATAGGTTTTCTTCAGTGTGACATCTCTGATGTTGAGTAAGCTCTCTGCTATTAAGGATGACTGTGCTATTCTCATTACATTCATAAAACTTCTCAATATGAATTCTTTGAAGTCAACTAAGTTCTGTATCCTGGCAAAAGACCTTCCCACATTCAATACATTTATAAGATTTCTCTCCAGTATGAATCTTCTGATGTTGAGTCAGTTTCATGATCAGGAAGAAAGCCTTCCCACAATTGTCACATTTGTAAGGCTTCTCTCCAGTATGGAATATCTGATGTTGAGTAACATTTATTTGGTGGCTAGAAAGTTTTCCCACATTTCTTATCTTTGAAAGGTTTCTCTCCAGTGTGAATTCATAAATGCCTATTAAGGTGTGATTTCAGGTAGAAAATCTTTCCATATTCATTACATTCATAAGGTCTCTCTCCAAAATGAAGCATATGGTGTGAAAGAAACTGCACTGTCACAGAACTTCACACTTTCTTTGCATTCATGGTATCTCACTCTACCATGAATTCTGGGGTGGTAAGTAAGATCTGTACTCCAGTGAAAGTTGTTTCCATATTTAGTATGTACACAAGGCTTTTCTCCATGAAGAGGGGCTTGCTGTTTAGCAAATGGAATACTCCAACAGACAGCTTTCACATGTTGATATTTATTGGGGTTTTCATAAGTAGAAATTCTGTGATGGAAAAACATAAGAAGTACAGTTAGAGTACTCTCAATATACAATACAATTATAATGTTTTTCCCCCAATTGGCTTTTAAGCACAATTAATCATTTCTGAACCATAAATGGATGATTTCTCAAATGCTTTATATTCTACAACTTATTATTTGATCATATTATATGTAATTATGTCTAAATACTATCTAAAGTTAATTCTGTGTACAGCATTTATGGACCTATTTTCACATACAGATCTCAGCTGAAGAAAAGAATTAACTTAGATGGTAACTTCTCCTACATTGGGAGTTTTCTTTTGGGAGATTTTGATTTAACAAAATTTTTTTCTCCTAATGGCTCTTCTGTCTATCCAACTTGCCCCAACATTCCCAGACTTCTCCCAATTTGAAAAAAATTCAAATTATGAGTCTCTCCTGGGACAATTCTTCCATTGCAGTACCAAGTCTGGGGGTTAACTGCTTGACTTTATATCTAGTCTCCCAACCTAAAATAATGTAATATTCTCTGTTCACACTTAAATGAAAAGGAATGAAAAAAGATGAAAAGAAATAGTTACACACAGACACACACACACACACACACCCCAAATCCTATCTTCTACCTATACCATCAAGAAAATAGATTGTCAAAAGGAGTAACTTTGGCTATACTGTTGTACTTTTATTGCTAAAATTAGACTCTGAAATGCTTATCAACTGACTGCTAAAATTAGATTTTAAAATTTTGCAATCACAGCCCCAGTGATATTTATATATAGTACTTTTTCTCTGCTTTATCCCTCCCTTGATTGGGTATCAGAATTACCAGGATTATGTTTCTATAAGAGTTATCTATCTGGTAGAATGCCTTCTTTCTCTTTTTTTTTTTATTAATTTATTTTGATTTATCAACAATCACTTCCATAAGCTTTTGAGTTTTAAATTTTTCTTCCCTTCCCTCCCCACCTCCCTCCCCACGACGGTGCGCAATCTGATATAGGCTATACATACACATTCTTATTAAACATATTTTCACATTAGTCATGTTGTAAGGAGGAACCACAAGAAAGAGGAAACAAAACACAACAAAAGAGAAAAAAAAAGCAAATAGTATGCTTCGATCTACATTCAAACTCCATCGTTTTCTTTGGATGTGGATAGCATTTTTCATCAGCAGGCCTTTGGAGATGTCTTAGATCCCTGTATTGCTGAAAAGTCTATCAATATTAGTCATAACACAACGTGGCTGTTACTGTGTACAATGTTCTCCTGGTTCTGCTCACTTCACTCAGCATCAGAGCATACAAGTCTTTCCAGGTTTTTCTGAAGTCTGCCTGCTTATCCTTTCTTACAGCACAATAGTATTCCATTACACTCATATACCACAACTTGTTCAGCCATTCCCCAATTGATGTTTCTTTCTCTATTTTTAAGAACAATTCATGTAGCATAGATGCTTTGTAAATGTTTGACAGAATTCACTTGAAAATACATATGAACTGAAGCTGTTTTCCTTTCATAAAACATTTTTGGATTGACCTATTTCTCTTTCTGAGGTTCAAGTAAAATATTTATTTTCTTTACTTTGTTAACTTACAGGGTGCCAATTTTTGTATATATTTATCCATTTCCTTTAAGTTCTTTTTTCAGGCACATATTTGCATAGAGGAGTATTTGTTAAATGTCTCTATTAATTGTAAATTCACATTGCTTATTTTTAAGGTTGATAATTTGAGTTTTCTCTTTTTTTAGTATCAGACTAGCTAATGTTCTATTACTTTTGTGAGTCTTCAGAAAGCAAGATTTTTCTTCTCAATTCATTGTCATTTTATCCATTTCTTCTGATTTTCAGTTCCTTTTTGTGACTTCGTGGGATGTGTGTGTATGTGTGTGTGTGTGTGTGTGTGTGTGTGTGCATGTTTTCTGAGATAAATTTTTCTCTGAAGAATGTGTTTTTTTCTATGATTTGTTCTCTGACCCATGATAAAGGAGGTAGTTAGTCTTCAGGTTTGTATCCTTTGTTCATGTCCATTTCCTTTATGTTGTGATCTGCAAAGGATGTAGTTATTATTTCTGCCTTTTGATATGAATGTATTTATTTATGCCCTACCAAATTATTGAATTTTGTAAAAGTATTGTTTTTCTGAGAAACATAGATATTCTTTAATAGTTCCATTTGGAAACTGACATAAATGGAAGAATATTTAAATTACTATAATTAATGTTTTCTTCCAGAAAAATCCCTTTGCATTTTTATTAGCTTTTCATTTAAAAATCTAGACACTACGTCATTTCACTTGTGTGTACCTAATAATAATGCTGATTCATTGCCTAAGGTGATTTTAAGCATTATGTTTAAATCTCAAAAATCAGTTCTGAATTTTGCCTTATCCTAGAATCATGAATTACTTCAAATTTTTGGAAAAGCCTGACATTGTAAACTCTGGTCCAGCCCTTCAATCTTACCATCTTTCATTTCCAATTTTTAAAATAAATTTTTAATGTTAAATTGCATAGTTTTCAATTATCAATTTTTTTTCTCTCATTTTTCCCCTTCCCCACGGAAAAGAACCCAGATATTTGTTGTAATAAATATGCAAAGTCAAGCAAAACAAATATTCATATTGGCCATGTCCAAAAATATGCCTCATTTTGAATAATTATTAGAATTCATAACAATTGGTCCTCTACAATCATTGTTGATCTTCAAATTATTTTTCTCAGTTCACAAAAAGTTGTTTTATTTATCAATTCACTTTCAAATTGACAGCTATTAAAATTATGTTTTCCTCCATTAAATTTTTCTTATTTCTCCCCCTTCTTTATACTAGCACTGCAGCTAGGTGGCACAGTGGATAGAACACTGGACTTGGAATTAGGAAGACATCCTCATGAGTTCAAATCTGGCCTCAGATACTTACTAGCTGTGTGACCCTTAGCAAATCACTTAACCTCATTTGCTTCAGTTCCTTGTGTATAAAATAAACTGGAGAAGGAAATGGCAAATCACTCCAGTATCTTTGCCAAGAAAACCCCAGATGGGGTCACGAGAGTCAGGCACAACTGAAACAACTCAACAAAAATACTAGACGAGGTCCCTGTAGTGTGTTCTGTTTATGGTAATCTCAGCCCAGTCACTATCCAAAGATTCTCCCCTACTTCCACCATCCCATTATACTAATCAAGCCTAAATTCTTCAAATCTACTTTGGATGTTATGGACTCATTTTATGAGACAATAATAGTCATGATACCCAAATGTGAGAGGGGTAAAGCAGTTTAAAAATAACTACAAACCAAATATTACTAGTGAATAGTGAGGCAAAATGTTAATGTTAAAATATATTTTTAGTAAGAAAACTATGTGTATATATATATATATATATATATATATATGCACAATTATTCATAATGACCAAATTGGCTTAATCCCAAGAATGATTCAACAAAATAACAAAATTCATCTGGAGGGATGAAAGGAAATAATGGGGTAAACTTGAAAAGAAGTGAATCTAATAGAAATCAGACTACTTGCTAGACTAGTAGTACTTGCTACTTGCTTGACTAAAAAGTGAAAAAGTAGATTAGTAGAAGCCTATAACTACCATAAGTATTAAAGTCAATGGATGCAATAGCCCAATGTTCAGTAAATCCCAAAACACAACTATTGGGGGAAAGTTTCACTATTTTAGAAGAGACACTGAGAAAACAGGAAATCATTTGCATGGAAAACAAGTTTGCACCAGCAATTCCAACTATATATCATAATAAGGTCAAAATGGGTAAGTGATTTAAAATCCTATCATTTAAACAAAATAAACAGGAAGAAAACTGAAGAGGGTAGTAAAAGAAATGCACAATGAAGCATTTTCAACAAAATTCAAATAGATCCAAATTGATAAAAATGATAAAAAGCAGTCAAAAAGAAAGAATCATAGGATCACAGATATAGAACTACAAAAGACCTTTAAAAGATGTGTATAGCAAAACCCCATCATTAAGTAGGCTGAGGTATAGTTGTAATTACTATCAGTTAATTAGGAGTGCTTGAATCTACTAACAAAGTAGGTCAATGACTACTTGAATAAAGCCAGAGACCCTGAGTGAGGAATGCCAATGTATTTTATAGTAATTAACAAGGTGACAAAGCAAAATTTCAAGCTACATAGATGTAGCAAAATGACCAGAAAGTAAAAACCCTCTGACCTCCATTTGCTATTACCTTCACTTGTACCTCCCCTTCGAAAAACCCCCTTAGCCACAAGCAAGACTTGTGATTCAGATCACCAGATAAAGGTATAAACTTTATATCCAGCTTTTTTTTACTACTATAGAAAGTGCTGCTGTGGTTATCTTATTGCCATTGACCTTGGAATAAATGCTCAGGAGTGGGCTTAAGGACATCATTAGTTTAGTGACTATTCTCATATAATTCCAAATTATTTACTAGAATGATTAGATTAATTCATAGCTTCACCATGAGTATGTCATTTTCTTTTCACAGGATGAAGAATGTGCAGTGGAAAGAACACTGGATTTGTCATTAAAGCACCTTGATCAAATTCTGGGACTTAGAATTTAACTGTGAACTTAGGCAAATGA